AAAAAAAATCCTTTCGAACACAGAAGACTTGGGAAAGTCCCTTTCTATTTCCCAGCTGAGACCAGCAGGTATTATGTGATGAGCACAAAGGTCATGCAGGTCAACATTTATTAAGCATCTATTGTGTGCTTAGTATTATATGAGGAGTAGGACTGGAACCACATGGGATGAATGAAATAGGACACTTGTCCTCAGATGTACAAATAAGTCATTGCAACACAGTAGGTGCTTGTGGTGTCATAAAAAATATGTATAACTGGTCTTTACCCCCAGTTCCTGGCACAGAGCTCCTAAAACCCTCGGAATTTCCTAAGTGATGGGAGTGTCTTTTGTTATTCATAAAAGCCTTTTTCTACCATACCTGAGTTCCTGCTACTGAGATGACACAGGGTGGGCATGTAGTTAGTTTCAAGGGAGGGGCTGGCCACACTTAGAGGGTTGGGATTTTCGACCACCCCTCTTCCCAACCTCCAGGGTAGGAAGAGGGGATGGAGATTATGAGTTCATTCACCAGTGGCCAATGGTGGCCAATCAAACAAGCCTAGGTAATAAAACCACCATAACAACTCTTGACCTCTGAGATTTGGAGAGCCTGTGGGTGGGTGAAGACATTAAGGTGCTGGGAGGGTAGTGTGTCCCCAGAAGGCATGGAAGATGTGTGCCTTGACCTACATACCTCTTCATCTGGCTAGTCATGTGTATCCTCTATAACAAACTGTAATCATAAGAATAGCGTTTACCTGAGTTCTGAGTTGTTCTAGCAAATTATCAAACCTGAGGTGGGGGTGGTGGAAAGCCCCCAATTTATAGTCAGCTGGGCAGATGTGTGGGAAGCCTGGGGCCCCCATTAGCAGTTGGCATATGAGGTGGGGGCAGTCTTACAGGACTGAGCCCTTAACCTGCGGGGTCTGTGCTGACTCTGAGTAGTGCCAGAATTGAATTGAATTGGTGGACACCCAGCCAGTGTCAGTGAATTGAGGACCGTTGGAAAAACCAAGCAGGACCATCCACAAGGACTCGGATAGCAGCACTGCCCCCCGCCACCGCCATGGCCCTCATTGCTGTTGGGCTCAACTGTTCAGTGGGGTATGGCTCTTGTTTAGGTCCAAGATGGCTGAATAACAGCAGGTTCGTGTGATTCCACCCCATGCCATCTCTTTGTGCTTTCTGTGCGTCCTCTCACAGGACGAGTTTCCCGGGGATAGCCCTCACAATAACCTTGAGATGGGGCCTGCTATCATCATTGCCCAGTTACACACCAGAGACTTCTGGAGGCAAGGCTGCAGGCCCCGGGTGTGTGTATTGCCTGGGGCTGCCCTCACGAAGTATGGCAAACTGGGGGCTTAAAGCAACAGAAACTTACTCTCTCACAGTCCCAGAGGCTGGAAATCTGGAATCAAGGCTTCCACAGGGTTGATTCCTTTTCAGAGGCCCCGAGGGAGAATCTGCTCTTTGCTTCCTCCTTGCGGGCACCCCTTGGTTCCCCTTGGCTTGTAGCTGCATCACTCCAGTCTCTGCCTCTCTCTTTACATGGTGTTCTCCCTGTGTGTGTCCGTCTCTCTTAGACAGATGCCGGCGCTGGACGCAGGGCCCATCCTAATTCAAAATGACCTCATCGTGATTACACAGCAAAGACCCTATTTCCAAATATGGTCATACTGCCAGGAACCGGGGGTTAGGACATCAGTGTTACCTCTTTGAGGAGGACGTGATTCAATCCACAACACTGAGCTCTCAAACGGGAACTCTACAACTGGGGGACACTATGTGAGGGTGTCGGGGCCAAGACCCCCACCTGCCCGCTAGTCTCTTGGACCAGGCAGGCCGTGCACAGAGCCAGGCTGGCCGGGGCCAGGGTGAGAGGAGCCCGGCGCCCCCGCCGTGAGGGAGGGGAGGCCTGCCGGGTGGCGTTCACGTGGACCACCCAGGACGTGCGGGCAAGGTGAGGGGGCATTTTTCATGGCTGCTCTGAACATTCAGCATGGTTTAAATCACCTTGTCAGGAAAACCTCAAACTTAGAATCTGGGCTGAAGATGCTTTGTTTTTCTTGCTAATCAATGCTCTTGCTTTTGGCTAGTAGGTTAGAAAGGTTTCAATAATTACAGCTAAAAAGCTTGTTGGGAGCTCCTGGAAGACACTATATACATGCTCTACAGAAACAGAGCGAGTGAGATAGAAATGATTACTCAGCAAGTAGGATTCTGGACGACGCAAGTGCACATTCCCAACAGTTCCCAAAAAGATAGTCAGGAAAGCGGTTCAGTGCTCTGAAATATCTGAGTGTGACGCAGGAACCGCGAGCACCCGGAGTCGTCCCAAAGAACACCTAGAACCGTGGTCGCCCACACAACTGTCTCGACCTTCCCAGGGAGAGCCGGGGAGAGCAGAGGGTGTCCATCCTGACCTAGGGACGTGCCCGGAGCAGGCTTGGCTTGTGCTGAGTTCAGTACTTGAGGGAAGCCCCTAGGAGACATAGGAGACTGTCCCGTTGAGCTCTCAGATGGAGGCAGGTCCTGTCCCATCTTTTTGGCAAGTAAAAAGAGTTCATTCGAGCTAACATGTATCCATTCGATGATACTGGAAATGTACTTTGTTTTTCCTCTAGGGTTCTCATGAAACGCTGCCTGCACATTTAAGCAAGTCATGCTTCCGAGGCCAAGCAAACAAAACTGCCCAACAACGGTTTCTAGGTTTCACCGAGGAAGAAATTTCCCTTTGGTCATTTAAACAATGGATTCAGTTACTAGAAACCCGAGTGCTCGTTTAAAGACTCCATGTGCTATCTGTTAACACTGCCCTTCACCTTTTGCGTCTCTGCCCCAGGGCTGGCCACACAGACGCTTTTCCTTGGGCCAGACTGAGCTTTCTTAAGTGTGACTCAGGCTGGAGATTAGGTCCAGGCAGAGGAGATAATTGTTTCTAGTCTGGATTCTTCTAACTTTTCTCCAACGTCACCTCTTAAGCCTTTTCCTTCGGCAGCTCCCTCATGTTCCCCAAGTTGTGGTCCCTGGCCCTTCTTATCCTATGCTTCCCCCTCCCCCACCAGCTCTACTGCATGGCACAGCCTCTTTGCAGATGTCTCCAGAATCTTAGCACCAGCCTCCTTCCCGAGGACCAGATCTGGATGTCCACCTGTGGGCCAGAGATCGTCACCCAGCATCTCCAAGATGCTTCTCAGATCAGGTTCACTGTTCTGCTGCTGCCACTTAAATACAAGCCGGCTCATGAGTCGTTATGAAGTCATTAGGCTCCAAAGTGGGACTCTAGCAGCCATCTCTTCCTTTTCATGCTCATCGCTTCTTACGCCTGACTTTTGCAATAGCCTCCCTCCTACCTCGTCTCCCAGCTTTCCTGTATTCCAAAAGTCTTGATAGCAACTGAATTGATTCTGTTAACTTCACAACTCTGCACATGTCCTTTCCTAGGGCTTCTCTCTTCTCCACCCTCAGCCTGGAATGGAGGCTATCCTCAAGATGGGATCCACTTAGGGAACGCATGGCATTCTCCTCGTGTGTCCTATGTCAGGCACAATGAGTATAATCTTTCTTTTTCACCCTCTGAGCCTTTCCTGACCTTCAGTTCCTTGGAACGCACAAGCTCCCATTCTCATCTCCATCTGCTACATCCTCAGTCTTCAAGGCTTCTCTCAAATGCCACCTTGCTGAGAACTCGTCACACGCTGAGGCTTCATTTGTAGCGTACTCACATAGTTACTGGTATTCGAATGGGTGAGTCAACAGCAAGCTACTCGAGTCCCTCAGCTAGGCCCTCAGGCTTAGTAGATGCCTCTTAACTGTGGGTGGCTGCTGACTATGCTCCTGGCCCCCTGGCCCCGTGTCCCAGCCTTTCTGGCTCAACACAGCCTCGCTTTCCCTCCTCCTCTTTTTAATCAGACACAGGCAATACATTTGGCATGGGAAGAACTACCCTCCTCCCCCAAACCCCACTGATTTTAAATTTTGTTGGAGGCAAAAGCAAATTTCCAAGATTCAGATCAACACCAATTTAGAATTATTTCTGCCAGTTGGAAAAGAAAACTTTGAAAACGACATTTGACTTTTTTAACTTGGAAAAAATTTGAAAGCTATAGTCTTTCAAGGAAACAGGATACACACACACACACACACACACATCCACATCCACCCCCCCCCCCCACCCCCCAAGGCTGGCTTTATGTAGTTCAATCCTGTCAAGCTAATCTAATCTTTTGTGACAGAGTGGCAGACCTGGTAGATCAAGGGGGAAAAAATAGTTGGAATTTATCTTTGCTGGCTTCACAACTTTTGATTCCACTCAATATGATTATCATTAAACTGGTTGAAAGGTTGGGGGGGGTGGGAAGGAGGGCACAAATCAGTTATAGGTGAGGGACAGAAGTGCTCCCTGGGTGCTAGCACAGTGGCCCTGAACGTTGGCCTGAAGGGGCCAGATGACAAAAAAGAGAACAGAGAGTCAGCATGAATGACGAGGTGGGGCGGGGGGCAGGGGGCGTAGTTTATTAATCAGCAAGAAAAGTAACTTCGGCAATTACTTATGTGATCAACACTAGTATGTAGGTTTGACGAGGGGAGAGTTCATGTTTAGAGAAAACAGCAATCATCGTCAAAGTAGCATTATATTTAGAATGTGATACTTTTTAGAGAAATTCAAACATAAATGAAGCTATTCCTTAAGACCAGCTTTGGGGACACTCGCAGTGAGCAGGACTTTCCTGTATGTGGTTACAGTGCTGATTTGCTCTGTGGGGCAAACTAACCGAGGTAATGAGACGGTATTTTCCCACTTTCAGGATAAACAAGCCCCTGATACAGCATCTCATCTAAGTAGATGGTAACAATGGGAATTTGAGTGTATGGCACCCTAAGTTGTTAATGGCTGTTCCCGAACATTACCCCATTTAAACATTTTTTTTCTTTAAGGTGTAATATGAAAAAAAGGGAACACAATGCTTTTCTCTACAATATTGGTGATCACTAAGAATCACACTGTCAGTGGCATGTAAGTTAATTCTTTAAATTTAATCAGTCCTTTATAAAACTTCCCAATTAATTAGTAAAAGGTGGCTTATTTTAATAGCCTTAAACATCGGTCGCTATTTAAACAAGACATTCTAAAAAAAAAAAAAAAGCAATCACATAATAGTTTATAGTAATTTACAAGTGGATGGTATACATTTAGATACAGAGGTAGAAGTCCACTTTAACAACATTTCACTAAAACACATTTACCAAATTCAAGGCACAAAATAGTTTGCTTTACAAAAAAATACTGTAAAAATGTCAATTGCTGTTCTACAATGTGAATAAAACTTTCAAAAGAATCTTTACAACCTTCCATACGTACTCCATAGAATATGATTTTTTCCCCCTCACTAATCATAGTTGGCACAAAAATGGGGACTTTTTTTTTTTAATGCAGAAGCTCCCATTTTTAGAAACTGTTCCTTTGCAGAGCTGCTATGTATTCTAGATAAAAGTCCATTCAAATAAATGAAGCACAGCAACTTCCTGAGGAAAGGGCACTTTCTGGATGCAGCAAAATTCACAGGTAGAAAATGTATGACCTTTGTGGATAACTAGGTCTCCAGAGGAATAGAGCCTTAAGGAAAGATTTCAGAGACAAAATTAAAAATTTGGCTAACACTTTAGTCCTTATGACTTTAAAAAAGAAACCTGATCCCTGTTAATGTAACAATCAAACATCATTTACTTCGAATTGATGGAGATTTCAAAATTCCTTTTTAAAAGAGCTGTACCCACAAACACCACAAACAGCCACACGGGCTTTGCAAAACTGAAACTTCGAAAACATGAGAAAATATAGCACTATCAGTCCTTGAAGTTGCAAGGGTGTCAATTGGCTAGAGTTTAATTACAGGAATTAATAAACTCTATGGAGATTAAAAAAAAAAACACCACACAGGTGAAACACACTGTCGTTATCATCTCTAGACTTTCTGCTCTTTAAGAAAAATAATGGTAGCCTGGAGACGTCACACAGTGCTTGTCTAAAAGATTTGACTCGTTTTAGGGTTCTGCCTCAAAGGACCCTGTTGGCAACAACGTAAGCTCACTTTTGCTGATCACATTTTCCAAGTATTCTAGTCGGTTAATTTGCACTTTATTTATTTTTTTAAAGTTGATTAAAAAAAAAAGTCAACATGGGTTTAGAATCCAGAGAATGTCAGTAATGCTGATGTGGATCAGACAAACACCTTGATCGTCTTCTGGTAGAAATGATATTCCGTACAAAAAAGATCCTTAGATGCCATTTTTCGCTTCATTATTGTTTGTGGCTTGTTTTCTTTGAGCAATAAACGGGTACATACACTTGTCTGCTCCTAGGAACCGATACATGCACACAACTGCTTCAAAAGGGAGGATGCTGAAAAAAGAAAGGGGTCTGTTAGTGAGTGCACTCCGGCTCTTGGTAGGTTCTGGGGGTGGGCACGGGGAGACCTGACCCAGGAGGGAACCCACAGAGTTACCTCTTCATGAAAGTCACGATGTACATGAGGCGGGGGGTGCAGATCATGGGCTGGTCGGTGAGGATGGCCTTCATGGCCTGCTTCACACAGTAATCAGGCTTCAGAGGGGGCAGAAAAGGCTCAATTTCTTTCCTGAAAGTTAAATATTAAAAAAATGAAATTAAGCGTAAACACAAAGCAGGGAAGACTGGAAATACACATCCAAACATTAACAGTGAGGTTATCTAAGTGTCAGGATCTTAGGTCCATTTTGTTTTCTGCATTGTATTTTTCTGTATTTTCCAAATTTTCCTACTATGAATATATTTTATTTGCATAGTCTAGAAAAGGGGTTAAAAAAAAAAAAAGCAAAATTGGTCTGCTTTTCTGTAAGGTGAGACAATGTTTTTATTTTATTTTTTTTAAGATTTTATTTATTTATTTGACAGACAGAGACACAGCGAGAGAGGGAACACAAGTGGGGGTGGGTGGGAAAGGGAGAAGCAGGCTTCCCGCCGAGCAGGGAGCCCGATGTGGGGCTCGATCCCAGGACCCTGGGACCATGACCTGAGCCGAAGGCAGACGCTTAACGACTGAGCCACCCAGGCGCCCCGAGACAGTATTTTTAAAATGCCTTAAAATGTATTTCATATTATTTTTCTATTTTTTTCAGTAGAAAAAGAAGAGGGTGTCTGGCATAACAAACACTAAACCCAAACACGATACCAAACTTTTAGTGCTGAGTGTTGTTAGAATGATGGCGTGTAACACTGGCGTAACTTTTCTGAGTGAAGTAAGTCAGCGATATACCTTCCTGGATGCCCCAAGAGGGAAAACCAAGGTATTTTCTCTCAGGGGTCTCTGAAATAAAGTGCATATAGACATCCTACCTTCAGCTGAATTCATTACATGACACGTTGAAATAACCTAATAGTATAATTTATTCCTTTCACTTTTCATTGTCCCACCACAGCTTTGGACACCTGTCATATGCTAAATAGGAAGCAACTAAATAGGAAACAGGGCTCCTTAGACCCTAGGCAATTGGCTCTTAAGTATACAAGATGAAGAGACAAACCAACACACACACACATGTGCGTGCGCTTGGGAAAAGCGGCAGAGCTCAAGTCCGTTCCCAGTCCAGACTTGGAGTCAGCCAGAGATTGGAATGACTCAAATGGAGCTCCACCTACTTCACAGTGTGGCCAGCTTCAGGATGTGTTAAGAACGGCCCTGACCAACGGGGAACTGGTTCGGTTATCTACCCTTGCCTTGCAAATTCATCCAAGCAAAGATCTCAAGTAAGCATGTCTTTACAAGTATCCTTTTAATGATTCGTGGTTTTGTTTACTCTGCTAGTTCAAGTCAGACGTGACCTGACATTTATATTCCCATATGCCTCCTTTCAAAGTGTGTGGGTATTTTATTTCGTTTTTAGTAAATCTAAATAGTTCTTCTCATTCTGTTACAGTGAATCTACCTACATATACTCTCTGTGAAAAGAAAGCTCCCAAATCTGGAGGGCAATATTCAAAGGGCTTTTTAGAAGAAAGGCTTACTCTTTTGTGACAGTCACATTGTTTCATATCCAAATCAAAGTCACATTCATTTACCAACACTAATACTAAAGAAACAAAATAACTCCTAAGGAAGTAGCTTCTAAGGGAAACCCTGGATATTTATGTTTCCTCCTTGAAGGTACAAAGAGGCCAATTCCTGACTGATGCTTCCAGATTGACTTCCTCACATTAGTATCAGCATGGTACCAGACCCTCACTCGTTAATCTTATTCACCTGAATTTTACAAACCTTGATCAATGAGGTTTGTAACAGGTTTAATTGTCAAATGATAAAGTGCAAGATCCAATTCTACGTATTCTCCCAATATGGAAAGATGGTTTCTAAAACAGCTTTTTATCAGTAATAAGACAGGTTCTCACTGACCTGATTCGGCAGCCTCGGAACATGCCCGTGTCTACAAGGTAAGGGCAAACCAACGTTGTTTTAATTCCATCCTTTTCAGCAGCCTTTAACTCATGGCTCAGGGATTCGTGAAAACCCACCACTCCAAATTTACTGGCACAATAATCCTGAGTTAGAGGGGGAGAGAACAGAAACACTGAGTATGTGCACAGATCTCCCACCAAACCGACCAAACCCAAGCTTCCCTGATCCTATTACTTTGGTTGCATGTTTGATACAGAAGGTTACAGGTGACTAAGCAAAGAAAAGGAAAGCATTTTCAAAGACAGATATCTGATGTGGTTCAGTGCAGAAATAATATTTTCAAAGCAACAGCAGAAACAGACGAACACTTTTTGCCACATTGACCAAGTATCGTATTACTTTGGGGAAGTTACCATAAAGGATTTTATAAAAGCTAACAAGCTGGAGCTAAAAATGGAGAGAGGTTCACTTTGAAGTGTCTGGAAAATTTACAAATGGTCTCTTGTTCAGTAAAGGAGAATGAAAATCCAGTTTGCTTCATTATCGCTAGGAGAGAAAGGCAAATCTAGCTTAGGTTATAAGTTATTATGATCTGATTTTCTCTTTAGGGTAAAGTAAAAATGGAAATGGTAAGTATACCTTGTAAACTTAAGCCAGACCTTAATCTAAGAGCACATGGTATAGAAAGTTCTTATCCCTTACCCCACCTTAAATGTAGGAATGGCAATGTAGAACGTGGAAGCCATCTATTCTGTGTCCTTTTGCCTATTTGCATGGGGGTGAGGTTTTCAATTTTATGCTAGAAGCACCCAGAGGACAAACAACACAGAACGATATACATACACATGCTTTACTATTGGAATATGGTAAAGAGTGGGGTTTGATTAAGCCCAGTTCTGCAAACTTAACAATGCAAGACACCTCACATCCACCATAACCATCTCCTCTGATGGACTGATACAAGATAGTTCACTTTTGGCAAGTTGACCCAAACAGGACGTCAACCTTTGGCCTCACGTATCTGTTTCCCGGGGTACTGCCACTGCCCTCCACGGTTTCATTCTTGACCCTGTGCCTCCCCGCCATCATCAAGCAAAACTGCTAAGGAAAGTGGGGCATACCGAGGACTAGCAGTTCTACTACTTTTCCTGCTGCTGAGGCTTTGTCAAACTAGGGTAAGTGATTTTATGGCAGCAGGTATTAGAGGTACGCTTCAGCAGCTGGCCCTGGGCTACTGCAGAACATTCCACACACAGCACACAGGTCGAGCAGAGTGCTCTCATGAATGTATGGGCAGCAGGCACTCTTCGGAGGACTTTGGTACACTCGACACAAGATAAACCGATTGAAGGAAGGAAATGCTTTATATCTCACAAACCTCAACTCCAGCAGTACTGAACAATCCCAAGGAACTTGCAACTGTCACAATATGACCATGATTAATCTCCAGCATGGTAGGAAGAAAAGCCTTTGTGGTCTGAAAGAAAAGTAAGAGTAAAGCTTTAGAACAGACACTGTGAATTTCATTTAAAAGCCAATCCTACCTAATGTTTTAGCGACATAACGAAATCAGTTTTACCCACATAATGGTACATTTTCCAATTTGTTTCAAGATCTTACACATCTACTAAAAGAGACGATCCTTTGATTGTCTGGTTAGCATAACACCATATCATTGGTGTGGCAGGCCTATTAGAAGCCGTGACCAACAAGACCCGTAACACAAGAGTTTTGGGGGACAATCGCCAGAGATGAAAAGAAAGCCATTAGTCGAAGGCTCTTTATCACCTTTCAAGTGATAGTTATCTGCTAATCTAAACTACTCCCAGGTCAGGGATCTTTTTATGCTCATGACACTTTAACACAGCTATCTCACGGTCTGTGAGGGGCCTCCAGCTTACCCACGAATAAGTGCCTTGTATTAATGTCTCCCTTATGGCTATGTCTAAACAGGAAGAGACCCCCGAATGAAGAGATCGTCCAGCATCATCTTCCAGCATCCGAAGTTTTACCGAAGTGTACTAACAGGAGGTAGAGTATTTCAGGATGTAAAAATGCAGGATAAAAGTACAGGATCATTATAATGAGAAATGTGTCCTATGCTAACAGACAGGAGCTTCCAGCATTCTGAATGACCACACTCCCCTGGGGGGCTTAGAGGGCAGTGACTTTCCCACAGAAGCAGGTACCCGGCCACTCAGTGTAGCTGAGCACGTGGCAGTTCCAGGGCAATAGACCCTTATTTCTTATTCACTAAACTCTTTCTTCCCCCTCTGGCTCTTTCACCTTCAAGACACAAGGCTGTATTTAAAAATAAAAAAAAAATTACTTCAAATTGCTTAAGATGATCTATTAACTACTCTACCAGGCTCCCAACAGTTTTATAACCTGCTTCTTAAAAGAAAGCAGCAAAGAGCAATCTGTCTACTGTTGAGTTATATCCCATTGCCAACACAGCTTCCCCATGATTTATGAAGTTAAAAAAACCCAAACAATACACAGTGGACTTAAAGAAGACTTGCATGCCCTTCTCTAAGGACTTCCTGGCTAAGGGATCACTGAAGTTTTGCATAAATATCTGATTTGTTACAATAACTTATGCATGTACAAGATCAAAAACAGTCACTCCATTTATTTTGAAGTTTCTCCGCATTCCAATCCATGATGCACACAGTTGCCAGATGAATGTCTGTGACGTGTCCCAAGGTCTTTCCCAGTCCGACTCCTGATCATCACGCAATCCCCCTCACCACCGACTCATACCCCATCTGTCTGGGCCTCCTCACTGTGGTTATCCAGGGCACACTTATTCTCACCTGTGAGGTTTTACCCATGAACTCTTCTCTTCTCTGACAATCTACTCCCAATGCCCTCATACGTAATTCAAAGTATAATATTAATCACATGTTTACAAAGCCTCTTACACTTTTCAATGTGCTTATGTTACAGGGGCTTCCAAATAATTCTTTACTGAAGGTGTTGAGCCTTTATGTAATTCTACACCACCTTGACTTTGTATTTCTTTAAGACATGGTCAGTACCATTTGCAATTATACGTTTTGTGGTATTTTGATTTTAATTGTTTATATTTATTTGCCCAGCTGCCTCAGACTAAGCTGGAAGATATTGACTATTTTTTCAAAGATTATGGGAGGACTACTACCCTGTGATGGGCACTGTGGAGGAGAGAATGTGAATAACATTCCTTGTGAACTTTGGAGAGCTGGCTTACTGCTGGAGTGTCTTTCTTCCAAGAGACATATGTTTCAGCTGGATTTTACTTCTTTGCAGAAGTGGGAATGGTTAGGGTAATTAGGATAGTAATTATTATTTTGGTGTGCTTGTTAGCCAAAAAAGGCAAGAACTGGTACTTTAGGTAATTATATGTTCAATTTAAAAAAAAAAATTTTTTTTATTGTTATGTTAACCCCCATACATTATATCATTAGTTTTAGATGTAGTGTTCCATGATTCATTGTTTGTGCATAACACCCAGTGCTCCATGCAGAACGTGCCCTCCTCAATACCCATCACCAGGCTAACCCATCCTCCCACCCCCCTCCCCTCTAGAACCCTCAGTTTGTTTTTCAGAGTCCATAGTCTCTCATGGTTCGTCTACCCCTCTGATTTCCGCCCCTTCATTCTTCCCCTCCTGCTACATTCTTCTTCTTTTTTTTTCTTTCTTAACATATATTGCATTATTTGTTTCAGAGGTACAGATCTGAGATTCAACAGTCTTGCACAATTCACAGCGCTTACCAGAGCACATACCCTCCCATTATATGTTCAATTTTAAGCTCTACATCTTATATATGGCCATCATATCACAAAACTGCAATAAAGTAACATCATAAAGAAGGATATATATTCCAATTTAAATAAGAAAACATATCCTTAAGTAATCAAGTCTATAAGTCCTCTTTTAAGTATCTGGTTAACTGTTCCCAGGTTAGCTAAAAAAAAGTATAAAATGTATTCTTGATGCGACTCAGAGATCATTTCTCAGTATTAAAAGTTTGCCTAGTCTTGAAAGACAGGGATAGATTTAGTACAAAGGATCCTACCGTTAAGTTCTTAAGTGGGGAGTCTCAATATTAAATCCCAAGAAATTACACACAATATAGAACACCAATAAGAACTTGCTGCTTAATTACCTGGCGAGTCCGCATCCCTGATCCTGCTTTTTCACATCGCCAGTGACCACTCGCTCTAGCTGGTGGCTGGCCCTGGCTGGAAACACATGGGCACCGAGCAGGTTGGTGCTAATGACTTCCCCGGACTCATGTGCGATGCTGCTGCCTGCAGGTGTTAAATGACTAATCCAGATCCCCAGTACTACATAAAGGTAGGTGATAGAAGATTAACAAGTTCTTAACTGTTTTTTAAGTTTAATTTGTTGCACGGTTCTGAAACTGATTAATGACCCCTCCCGTTTTCCTGAAATTAGTTTGTGGTATTAACTTACTCCTTCAACGATTATTTCTTGAACATCTATTACATGCAGGTACTGTTTTATGATCTGGCCAAGCAATGACGGCTAAAATGGGAGCTGATTCTGTGCTTGTCTCTAAGCAGAATTTACATTTACCAGCACTTAATTGTGTTAAATCAGTATATCAAGTATAATAGTTCTAGTTTATGCACAGGGTACTCTGGCTGCATATTCTAAAAAATGTGACTTGGGTCTGCTTTCCTCACTCCCTGCCCTCCCTCCAATTAGTTTGGAGGAACATTTAAGCTACTGGTTTTGTATTTAAAGGAAAAAAGAAACAAAGAGAAGGGAAACAAAAGAATCCAAATATGGCTTAGTGACCAAAATCTTCTCCAGTTGTGGGCTGTAAACATTTTTCCAGGAAATATGCTTCACTTTGAGTAACTAAGTAAAGTGTGACACAGTTTTGTTTTAATATAAAGCTTTCTTTAGAGAGGGAGAGTTAAAAAAAAAAAAAAAAAGGCAGTGGCAGGGCAGTGTCTAGTTTAAAATGTGATTTCTTTGCCTAATAAGGGACAAACACAGCTTTCTGTATAAATGAAATCCAACGTGTCACTGCATTTTCTACATCCTAAGACAAAGGCCTATATTCTTTGTTTAGGAAGTGCGCCGATCATAGGTCTAATACTACAATTACAACAACGGCTACCCATGTTGAGCACAACAAACAAGGTTCAGGAAACTAGGAGCTGAAAAAAGCCATCCAAGGCCAGGGTCAGCCTGGGAACGCAGACTCATTGTCTTCTAAGGCTGGGGTCAAACACTCAGCTCCTACTGTGTGCCAGGCAAGCCTGGGATAAGAGCATTCACATTAGGACATTCGGGTTTCTTTTTAAACTTGGGTTTTCAGGGCTCACCCTGGAGCCGGATCCACGTGACTGAGCACGAAGGCTGTTAATCATTTCCTTTGCTGCCTGAATGCAGGCGAGCAATTACTGCTCGCGCCGTATCTCCACAACCCCAAGTCCTGCCTTATGTCTGGGGCACATTACCAAATAAACTTTGATCAACACTCATTCTATCCCTTACTTTACAGGAAAAATGCTATAAATAGGTGGCTAGAAAAGCATCACATTTTCAGGAATTTTCCCAAGAAACCTGACTAGTTTTCTTTTCTAATTACTCTTGCCCTCAACAGTCTGGTAGATGACATCTGAGATACAGCATATTCCGTCCCTGACACAGTTTGACAGCACAAAGAAATCTGGCACTTTGCAATGAATTATTAATGCGCACAAATATTGCAGCATGTACGAGATGGGGACCAGCAAAAGGTGAAGTGCTAGTTGCCATGACACCAGTCAGTTCAAGCTAAGGTTCATGATCTTTAACTTTGTCTCAAAGAGTCATTAAAAGAACATCAAGGGCAAATCTAAGCGCACACCCAAATGGCTTAAGTAGAAATTCACGCGTGTGCTGCCATCAGTGAATCTGAGAGGGGCAACTCAGATCACTCACCGAACACCTGGACTGCCGTGTTATCTTCACTAGAAGGATGGATTACTTGGATCACAAGTGACCACCTAGTACAATGACCTCTAAAGTACAGAGTTAGTTGGTGCCAGAGGTGGCTGGCAAGGTTAGCTAGATGCTTAACCTAAGCCAGAGAACTGCACTCCATCGCTGTGTCCTTTTGTTCAAATGTCTGTGAAACAGAGGAGGCCTTACAGTTCTTCATCAGGAAAAAATGGCTGACTCTTGATCTAGGGGGGGGTCTCAGAGTCAGCAACCCATATGCACTAATTGGTATGGTCAGTGGGAGAATTTAAAGCTGGAATGGACCTAGGGATCACTTTATCTGCAAAAAGAGAGCACTCGTACTAATGAACTCTGGCTAAAAAGTGTGGAGATAGACCTTTGCACACCCATGAGTAATTTTATCACAAGACTCCCAATACCATAATCGGCCACCAGCTGACTGGGTTGCTATGTGACTAAAAAGAAAAAAAAGAAGGGGGGGGGAGGACATTGAAATGGACCCTGAC